TCCCAAGGTAAAGGGGGTTGGAAGTTGATGATTTCCTGCCTTTACTATATGGGCCTAGTGTTGCCTGGGAAGGGAGCATGCTAAGCTGTGAGAATCGAAGGAGTGGACTACGCTGTGGAAAGGAAGCTCATTTCACTAACAGTTAGAAAACTTGGCACAACTTTATTTAATAAATAACCAAACAGGCAGACAGGCTGACAGACAAAAAACAAAAAGAAGGGCAAGAGCACACTCTAGCAGAGTATGCTTGTTTTTACAGGGTTATAGAGACACACACATAGATAAACATGTAGAGAGACACAGACCAGAGGAAGAGCACACACACACAGAAGGAGACACACAGAGAAATACCCAGCTCCTTGCGCTGTTGGGTATTTATAGGGTAAAGGCAGAGGATCTGGCTTCAAAGTTATGTAAAGATAGTGATTTGTCTTTGCTCTAATCACACCTGTTGTTACTTTCTGAGTTTCCAGGTAAAATGCAACCTGCCACAAAACAGATCTTTATCCTTGGCACAAGGAGGTGCCCCACTATCAGCATTTGGGGGCAGGAAGGGGCTTACGTTTGGGGAAGCAGTTTTTCTCAGGAAGGAATAGTCCAGTCAGACAAGAGTTCATTCTTGGGGTGAGGAATGCATCCTTCAAGGAAGGAATACATCCCATTGTCCCTCTTTGAAGCAAAGATGGCACTTCTATGTTTCTAAATACCACATCTCAGTTGCCTTCACCATGCCTCAGTTTCCTTAAATTATCCTAATTCCCAATCCACTGAGGTGTTTAATAGATTAGGTAATATAAATTGTACAAACATATTATGGAATATTACTTAGTCACAAGGAAGATTAAATTTATGGAGTTTGTAATATTGTACCTTAAATCAGATATAAATCCAGTCATAAGAAAATAGAGATGTCAAGTTTTGGAGTCTTTATTGGAGCTCTTGAGGTCTGCAGGTGGCCAATAGTTACAAAGACCTGTTACCCAGAACAGAACTTGCACCAAGCTCTGTTACAGCGGAGACAATGAGTTAGAAAAGCATTATACATAAACACAGCACAAGGAAAAGGGCTCCCCTGGGACTAAACAACACAGTGTATCTACACATTCCCCAAAGCAAGGCCCTCCTAGCTATCCATTTAGCCAGACATCTGCAATTCACACTAGCCAGCCGTGAGAAGTGCCAACACGGCCTGGTGCCAGCCAGAACAATGAATAAACCTACCCCTTACCTGAATAAGACATGCATGGTGTTGTTCTTACTCAGAATCCTCTTTAAAAACCTAATACCTACCACCATTTTTTTCTTGTCTTCTTCTCCTCTATCCACATTTCTTATCTTTCTGATAAATGTCCATAGGGGTTTTGTTATTTCTGTATCTTTCTCTCATACACATATAGATACATATACTACACACACACACACACACAGAGTCAGGAGGTTGAGATCTGTAAGACTAGTTCAGGCCAGGTGATCGTGGCTTGTGCCTGTAATCCTAGCAACTCACCAGGCTGAGATCTGAGCATGACCGTTTGAAGCCAGCCAAGGAAGGGCAGGAAAGTCCATGAGACTCTTACCTCCAATTGATTACAGAAAAAGCCAAAAGTGGCACTATGGCTCAAAGGGTAGAGCGCTAGTCTTGAGCAAAAAGAGCCTAAAGACACTACTCAGCCCCAGCGTTTTAAGACCAAGACTGGCAAAAACAAACAAACAACAACAATAACAACAACAAAAATAACCTGTAGTTTGAAACTAGCAAAGGCAGAAAAGCCCATGAAACTGGGTCCCAGTGTCTCACACCTGCAATCTTAGTGTCATAAATATGCTCTCTAAGAACCACAGGGGTCACAAGGATAAGCACAAAAATAAAGAACTGCTCCACAAGGCAAAAATTACTTCTTTGTGGAAGGCTGAGCCACTGGCCAAAATCAGGCAAGCAAGCACACAGAGCAGGCAGGCTGCTCTGATGTTTACTCCTAATGCAGAGATCCTGCTTCTCTGGTCAGAACAGCTGAGTTCAGGAACATAGTCTGCTCCCTACTGGCTAGTTTCATAGTGTACAATGTATTTATATAAGATGAGTTAGAAATAAGATTAACAGTACACAAGTAATCATCAAGTATGTCCACACCCTCTGTTATATCTTGAATAGTCTGGAGTGTGGCATAATTCCATCTTGAAAAGAAAAAAGAACTGTTTAAAGACAGAACCTTACCTTTCAACAGTCCTTTCTCATCCCAGATCAGTTCTTCTTTTCCTTAACAGGAGCCAAGCCACCACAGCAAGGCAGGAATTTATAAGCAATACACTTCGATAGAAAAGAGAGTTTTTCTCTCATCAGCTACTCAGGATGCTCAAGTCTGAGGAAAATGGCTTGAAACCAGCACAGGCAGAAAATTCTGTGAGAGTCTTACTCAAAAACACACTTGCAAGTGCAGCCATGGTTCAAGCAGTAGAGGATCAGCCTTGAAGCAGATAGCTGAAGGAAAGCTTACTGGCCCAGGACCCTAGCCCCAGCACTGGAGTATGTGTGACCATGTGGGCAAACACACACACATATGTACACACACACACACACACATATGTACACACACACACACACACCAGGGAGGTACTTTTACCCCTTTCTCTACAATTTTGCCTAGAGTCCTATGTTAGGTTCCATTGACACTTTCATGAAACTAAAATTCTTAATTCTGGATTCATCAAGTTTCTGTACACTAACTACTGTCCTCATCTGATTTGTTTCAGATTTTTAAAGATTCAGGGCAATGTAGGATGTCTCCAAACCACCATCTCCCCCCACCCTTTGTGTTTATTTCTATTCTACTTTTCTCTTGGTGATATTAGAGTTTGAACTGTCAGGTGTTGTACTGCTTGAGCCTCATCTCCAGACATTTTGCCTTCATAATTTGTCTAATGGGGCCTCCTGTGGACCATGATGCTCACATATGTGTTCCCACCTAGCTGGGAGGATAGGCACACACCGCCACACCCAACTCTTACTAGTCATGGTGAGATCTCATGAGCTTTGCCTAGACTAGCCTTGAACCATCATCCTCTCCATCTCCCCATCCTGAGTAGTTAGGATTATGGGTGTGAGACACCATAGTGGGATGCTTTTATTTTTTTAATCTTACCTCTTAGATTTACTTAATTATATTTATTTATATTATTTCATGACTGGACATTTTATCATATACATTCCTAGGTGCTGAGTTCAAGTTCAAGCCCCATGACCCATAAAAAAGGGAAGAAGACAGAGGAAGAGGAGGAGGAGGAAGAAAAGGAGGAGGAGGAAGAAGGAAAAGAGGAGCAGCGACGACTCCAGTGCGGCCGTGGCAGGAGAGATGCCGCCCCTGGAAGGAGATGACGATACATCACGCATGGAGGAAGTGGACTAGGCCCAGCGAGCTCCACACCTCACCTTCATTCCCTCTGATAATATCCCCAGGATTTTGTTTATTTTTGTTAACATTTAAAAAGTCTTTATAGCATGACTACTACTTAAATGGGAGGATAAGATTTCTTTCTACTTGTAAGTGATACTGTGACATCGTAGGTAAAGCAGATTAGTAATGCTTTTTTCTAGTTTCACCTTGGTTTGGACAGGTGAAGATGTTTGTTGTAAGCTCTAACGTGACCTGTTTATGGTCTCAAGTGTTTAGCTATTAAGCCAGATTCCTTAGCAGACCAAGTCTTTTGTCATTGATGTATTCTGGCACATTACCTTGATGTTTAAAGAAATGTTTTTGTTGAAATGGCTTGAGTTTCATCAGAGAGGGTCCAATTAGTTTTCCTTCCCTTGTAGTTAATGCTGCATGTGCTAGTCCTCTAGAAATATGTGTTAGGCTGACACAACTTGATGGAACTCCACAGGGCTTGTTTTCCAAAGAAAAATGTACCATTTAGAGAAATACAAATAAACTTCCCCAGATGTTATGTTAAAAAAAACATTAAAGCCACTCAGTAGCAGAAAAAAAAAGAAAAAGAAAAAGAGGGGCAGGAGGAGGAGGGGGAACAGAAGGAGGAAGAGCAGGAGGAGGAAGAAGAGGAGGAGGAAGAAGAGGAAGAGGAGGAAAAGGAGGAGAAACAGAAGGGAGGGCAGAGGATGAGGAGGAAAAGTGGTGTCAAGCATCACTGGCTCATGCTTGAAATCCTAGCTGGTCAGGGGGATGTTATCTGACTTCACTGCCAACTCCATGAGGAATATCTGTGGTATTTTTCTTTTCTTTTCTTTTCTTTTTTTTCTTGGTCATGGGGCCTGAACTCTGGGCCTGGGCAATGTCCCTCAGCTCTTAGCTCAAGGTGAGCACTCTACCACTTGAGCCACAGGACCACTTCTGGCCTTTTCTGCTTATGTGGTGCTGAGGAATCAAACCCAGGGCCTCATGCATGCAAGGCAAGCACTCTACCACTGAGCCACTTTCCCAGCCCAATCTGTGGCATTCTTATATGCAACTAACCATTGAAACGCAAGCAATGGAGCTGTGGCCCAAGTGGTAGAATGCTGGCCTTGAACAAAAGAAGTTCAAGGAGAGCTCCCAGGCCTTGAGTTCATGCACCAGGACCAGCATACACACAAATACATTATTTGCTTCCTCCCTTTCTCTATTCTTTTTTCCCTATTTCAAATGTTATAAAAGCACCATGACTAGAATAATTTAAACACTAACCAAAAGTCAGCATTTATATTCACCATTCCACTTTGCTTTACAACTAACTAACCACATCTTTCATTAACTGAGGGAAAATTCCACTCTGCTCCGTTTTTGTGCACAGAAATATAATAAACCAGTTAATTTCTGGGTGTCCAATGTCCCCCTTCTGAAGAAGGGGGAAAAAAAGAAAACATTTTACACATGCCTTTAGATTATAAAATCACTCAGCTCCTCAAGAAGTGCAAAGATCACAGTCATTCCTTGAAACCAACAACAAAAAGTCCCTTCTAGCAACTATTAAAGCCATCTAGCTGCCAAAACCCACAGGACCAGGAAATTCCTTCCCCAGGCATAGAGTGGTGAGACAGGGCCCAGTGAGAAGACAGTGAGTTGGGACAAGTGCAGCACTGCTGGGCTAGTGGAGGGAAACGTGTTCCCATCTCAATATATCTCATAGCAGCACTACATTCCCCTTGGGGGAGACTTCCTGTTCAGTCCCAATGGGTTTCGAGGTCCTACTGGATCATGTTGGAGTCCTAGGAAGATTCCAGATCCTTCAGCTACTTTGCTTTTTCATCATAATTCTTATAGCATATCCCCACGTTCTATTGGAGAACTTCACAGCAGCCGTGCCTGAGCACCGCTGCTGGGTGCGCATCCTCGACAATGGCACGCTCTCTGACAATGGCACTGGGCTCCTCAGCCAGGAGGACCTCCTGAGAATCTCCATCCCACTCGACTCCAACCTCAGGCCAGAGAAGTGCCGGCGCTTTGTCCATCCCCAATGGCAGCTCCTCCACCTGAACAGCACCTTCTGGAACCTGAGTGAGGCAGCAACAGAGCCCTGTGTGGACGGCTGGGTGTATGACAAAAGCTACTTCCACTCCACTATTGTCACTGAGGTAAGGGGCCCCATTTAAATCTTCTGTGTCTCTCCTCTAAGGTTTTTGCAGTAACACAGAGAATAAACTTGCTTTATATATTAAATCACAGGGTATATTATAGTCAGCCATTTTTTCCCCTATTCCTTCAGCAAGTAGCAACTGCTCATCTAAACTATCATGATGATGAGTAGCTAGTGAGGTCATAATAAAATAATCTAAACACCTGTTATTAAATCATTTGATCTAATGAGAAAAGCAATTGGCATTTTAAAGTACAATTGACAAATCATGAAGATAAATATTATGCTCAGTTAGTGACTCTCAATACTTATTATAAAATATCACCCAGAGCAAGTTAATCAGATCCTCTGGGACATAAATCTAGGCCCCAGAATTCTGACACTTTTTATTGAACCAATGTTTGTCCAAAGATGAGAGTTACTGTGTCAGTTGAATTATTGAGTTGTAAGAGAAGTCAAAGAGACTTTCTATTAGTCACACTATAAAGGAAACCTTTCTTCCTGGAAAAAAATTTTTGTCATGTACTCTCCATTATAGTAAGTAAATTTTCTTTAAAATACTCCTTTCTATGCTATAAGTTATGGGAGCTAAAGAATGTTATGCTCATGGCTCAAAACTGTAATCCTAGCTACTCAGAAGGCTTATTAGATCTGAGGATCCTGGTTGGAATCCAGTCCTAGCAGGAACGTCTGTGAGACTCTTATCTTCACTTCATAACCAGAAGACCAGAAGTGGTATTGTGGCTCAAAGTAGTAGAGTGCTAGCATGGAGGAAAAGAGGTCTGGGAGAGCTCCCTGGCCCCACACATCTAGCAAAATAAATATATACATAGATACATACCAAATAAATAAATAAATACTGAGGAAATAAAATTCTACAAAAAAACGTATAGATCTAGGTGCTGGTGGCTTATGCCTATAATACTATCTACACATGATTTTGAGATATGTGCATCCTGATTCAAAACCTGCTAGGGCAGGAAATTCCAAAGGAAAAGCAGAAAAGTGTGCGGCTCAAGTGGTAAAGCAGTAGACTTGAGAAAAAGAGAACCAAAAACTCAGGGACAGCACCCAGGCACCACCCTGAGTTCAAGTTCCAGGATGGACACACACACACACACACACACACACACAGAATGTGTGTAGAAGCTAATGCATGCAACAGATGGAGTTGGTCATCTGTGGAGAAGAATAGAGAGATAATGGAAACTTTGAAGACAGAGACAGAACCTGAAGAGTTGAAAGGAGCTGAGTATTTGAAGGTGTGTGGACTGGCAGAGGAGAGTGGCTGTACAGGAAATGGACAGGAAGCAGGATCCACATACCACAGCACATTTTCCCTCACGGGAAGGCGCTTACAGTCTGTTTCCACTGAAGGCTTCAACTCTCCTGACACCGCTCTCTCTTCCTTTCTCTTCCAGTGGGACCTAGTATGTGAGTACCAGTCATCCAAATCTATAGTTCAAGTAGTATTTATGATTGGGTCACTGCTGGGCGGTCTGATATTTGGCCATCTTTCAGACAGGTAGGTGTCATTTCACTTTCTCTGTGGATGTTGATCAGATGGTATAGTCTTTTCTGTAGTTAAGAAATCTCAGCTGAGCTCTAACTTTAGTGTTCTATAAAGTAGTCCACCACTCAGCAGAAAAGTATCTTTTAGAAGACATTTAGAGAAATTTTAATTTGTATTGTACAAACTTAGACAATAGTGGGATCTGATGAACTGCTGTTTAAATAATCAACATACAAAAAACTAGTATCTTTTCAATATAACAGCAACAAACAATCTAAGAAAAAGTCAAGAGACCAATTTCATTCTCAATGGCTTTCTCAAACTAAAATATTTAGGATTAAACTTGACCAAAGAAGTTAAAGACCTCTACAATGAAAGCTATAAAACCTAAAAGAAAGACACTGAAAGCCAGGTATGGTGACTCATACTCCTAGCTACTCAGGAGACTGAGATCTGAGGACCAAAGTTGTACCCCAGCCTGGGAAGGAAAGTCCATAGACACTTACCTCCGATGACCCTGTGAAAAGCTGGTGTGAAGCTGTGGCTCAAATGATAGGGTGCTAGCTTTGAGCAATAACCTAAGGGAGATTAATCAGTCTCTGAATTCAAGCCCAATGCTGGCAAGAAAGGAAGGGAAGGAAAGGGTGTGAAAAGAAGGGAAGAGAGAGGGAGGAGGAAAGGAGGGAGGGAAGGAAGGAGAACCAAGCATGTGATATTTGTCTTTCTGAGACTGGCTTTTATTCTTCTGTTTGGGGTGGCAGGGGTGGGGGAGTGCATGCATGTGTGTGCCAGTACTGGGACTTGAAAAAGTTCAAGGGAAGGGCACCGTCCCTTCTCTTAGTTTTCTTCACTCAAGGTAGGCATTCTACTACTTGAGTCACACTTCCACTCCCAACATTGGAGATGAGAATCTCATAGACTTTCATAGAGGCTGTGCTGGCGTAGCCTCCTGACCTTCTAGGAATACAGGCCTGCACCCCTGCCACAGGGCTCTTGGATTCCTTTAAGTCAGGTTTTCTCTCCCCCACTACCACACCTCAATTTCACAGGCTTAAGATTCCATAGTATTTGATTCTAGTGGACTATGCGTGGTGTCCCTGCTTGAGCTTGCTTTTCCTACTTGAGCTCTGGACCTTCTGTCAGTGAGGAGAGACACTGACTTGCCTGACAGCAATCTGCCATCTTGCCTCTATCTCCTTATTTATGCATTCTTACATCTCCTAGTAGCCTCTTAGTAACATCTCTATACAGAATAACTCCATGTGTCATTCTCTGTCCTTCTTGTTCCCCTTCATAAATCAATTGCAACAAACTATATTATTGTTCTATTCTATGCCTGTATAGAAAGTATTTTGATCATATTCACCATTTTTTAACCTCTGTTCACTTCCTTCAAGAGCCCACACTCAAGCCTGACATGTTCCATCTTCCTACATTTTTATTGAAATGCAAGTTAATTGTTAAAAGGGCTTTACCATGGAATTTTACATATCCATAACCATTGTTTACTATTTACTATATTGTATGCTTTATAGTATATATTATTAGATAACATTATAAACTATACTACTGTATTATATAACATATATTATACTTATATAATTCATATAAATTCATAAATATTATAACATGTATTATCTTATATGTGTTTATATATATGTTTATTTTAGGTCTAGTATGCACATATGAGAGAAAACAAGTGAGCTTGGTAGTTCTAAACCTGACTTACTTCAGTTCATATGATGATCTCCAGTTCCATCAATTTCTATCAAGTGATGTAATTTCATTCTTCTTTATGGCTGAATAACATTCATGATACACACATTTTCTTGATCCATTCATGGCCTCTGTGTAGTATTGATAGCTTGACCCTCCATGAATATGAGTATATAGGTGCCTCTATAATAATCTGACACACATCCTTTTGAGAGTGGTATCATTAGATTGCACGGTAGTTGTGTTTTGTTTTGTTTTTTTGTAGCTTGTTAAGGAACATGTATACTGATTTCTCCAGTGCTCACATTTGTTTATTGTCCAAAAGCAGTGTATAAAGAAGATTGTGTTTTTTCCCCCCAAAATCCTTGCCTCCATTACTTCCTTTTGTTCTTGAGAGCTTGTTTGGAGGTTCTAGCAGGGGAGCACAGCTACTCATATACCCTTGACTGAAGACCGGTCCTCCTCTATCAGGGATGGTTGTCCTCTTCAACCGAGTGCACAGCTTCGGGAGGGACGCACATGGAGCGGTGAGGGAGGAAGGGGACACCCGCCTAGCCAGCCAGATCAGCCAAATCAACCCTGGCGATCAATGGGGTGACAGATGTCACAACCAGATCGCCCTGACATCCTTGCTTATGTTCTTGATGGTGGCCATTCTGCCTGGAATGAGGTGAATTCCAGTGCTGTTTCAATGACCATTTCTTTGTCACCAGAGATAACCAGTGTTTCTTCATGTATTGATTGGTCATTTGTAGTTCTTCCCCCCTCCCTTTTTTTTGTTTTGTTTTGTTTTGTTTTGGTTCCGGTTGTGGGCCTGAACTCTGGGCCTGGGTGCTGTCCCTAAGCTCTTCAGCTCAAGGCTAGTGCTCTACCACTTGAGCCACAGCACCACACCCAGCTATTTTTTTTCCTGCTTATGTGGTGCTGAGGAATCGAACCCAGGGCCTCATGCATGCAAGGCAAGCGCTCTACCACTGAACCACCTACCCAGCCCTCTCCCCCCCCTTTTTGTGGTCAATAATGAACCTTAAATTCAGGGCTTAGGTGCTGTCCCTGAATTCTGCTCATGGGTAGCACTTTACTACTTTGAGCCACAGTGCCACGTCCTTTTTCAGGGGGTTAATTGGATTTAAGAATCTCCTGTACTTTTCTGACCTTGCTGACTTTGAAACATGATACTCATATATTAGTGTCCTGAGGAGGTGGGACTACAAAGGGGAGCCACCAGAGCCTCACTAATTTGTACTCTTTTTGAGAAGTCTCTGATCAGTTCATTTGCACATTTATTAATGCACTGTTGATTTCTGGAAGTTTGGGGTTTTTTTGAGGTTCCTGTATCTATTGGCTGGGCCATGTGGTTCTTGTCCTTATTCCTATTGCGTGTATATTGAATTATGTATATTACTTATGTATATTGAACCAGTTTTGCATCCCTGGAATGAATCCTATTTGATCATAGTGTATGTTTTTTTATGAATTGTTGAAGTTGCCAGAATTTTGTTGAGAAGTTTTGCACTGATATTCATCAATGAAATGAGTCTATAGTTCTCTTTTTTTGATGAGTCCCTGTCTGGTTTCGGATTGAGGGTTATGCTGGCTTCATAAAATGAGTTTAGTAGTGAATGTTTGCTTTCAATTTCATTGAAGAGATTGAGGAATATTAGTGTGAGTTCTGCTTTGAAGGCCTTATAGAATTCAACTGTGAATCCATCTGGTCCTGGGCTTTTCTTGTATGGGAGGTCTCTTATTGCCATTTCTTTTTCATTGCTTGATATGGGTCTATTTAGTTGGTTTAAATCTTCTTATTCTCTCTTCTGTGAACTTTCCATCCACTCCTAAAGGGAGAGGAGGTTTCTGAGTTGTCTACTGTTCAAGATGAAACAGCTTTCTAAGGCACAAGAAGCCAGACACAGCTGAGAGAGGCTGTTAGATGATCTATCTGAAACTTTGATGGATTGTCTTCCCATTCTGTCTCACTTCTCAGGACTCTAAGCACAACACACAAACGGTCATCCCAAATATGTGTGTCTCTTAGTGAACACTTCTGACAAAGTCTCATATGTCACCTTTTTTATATGGCTTGACATGACACCAGAGTCCTTATGGTGACCTGCGTGTCCTCACTGAGAGACTGTGGACATCACATTCATTGGCAAATTCCTAGGCTTCTTCCATTTCAGCTGTTGCTAATATAAAAATTCCAACAAATCTCAAGTATAATGTTGAAATAATAAATATGTAACATTGGTTAATATTTAATATTTAAAGAATATGTATTTCAAATTGATAATACTTAATATTTATAGAAGATGGATTCAATATCTACCTTAAGTTACATAATATACTACCTTTGGGTATTTTTAGTGAGATTGTTTTTGTTCTTGAGTAATCTCACATAGTCCAGTATTTCTTAGGTTTGGGCAAAAACTGTCTTCAGGTGGTGTTTACTCTAAATGGCCATCAGTGACACCTGTGCAGCCTTTGCTCCCACCTTCTTTATTTACTCTTCCCTGTGATTCTTAGCTGGGTTATCTGCCATGCCTGTGTTGGGAAGCCCTTTTGTTTTTAGTAAGTCAGTCATTTGATTCTTTGACTTCCTTCATGACTTGAACTGACCTTGAAAACATTCTTTAGAAAAAAATAATTATAGCCAGGTGCTGGTGGCTCACGCCTGTAATCCTAGCTTCTCAGGAGGCTGAGATCTGAGGATCGCAGTTCAAAGCCAACCTGGGCAGAAAAGTCCATGAGACTCTTATCTCCAATAAACCAGCAGAAAAATGTAAGTGGCACAGTGGCTGAAGTGTTAGAGCATTAGCCTTGAGCTGAAGAGCTGAGGGATAGCACCCAGGTCCAGAGTTCAAGACCCACGAGGGGAAAAAAAAACAGAAACAAAAAAGAAAGAAAAGGGGCTGGGAAGGTGGCTCAGTGGTAGAGCGCTTGCCTTGCATGCATGAGGCCCTGGGTTTGATTCCTCAGCACCACATTAGCAAAAAAGAAAAAAGCTGGAAATGGCTCTGTGGCTCAAGTGGTAGAGCACTAGCCTTGAGCTGAAGAGCTGAGGGACAGCGCCCAGGCCCAGAGTTCAGGCCCCACGACTGGACCCAAAAAAAAAAAAAGAAGTTAATCAAGGCCAGGTGCCAGTGGCTCATGCCTGTAATCCCAGCTACTCAGGAGGCTGAGATCTGAGGATCGCGGTTCAAAACCAGCCCAGGCAGGAAAGTCCTTAAGACTCTTATCTCCAATAAACCACTCAGAAAACTGGAAGGGTTGCAGTGGCTCAAGTGGTAGAGTGATGGGCTTGAGCTGAAGAGCTGAGGGACAGTGTTCAGGCCCCACGACTGAACCCCCTCCCCTCCAAAAAAAGAAAGAAAAAATAATTACAACTATAAAACTATAATTACAACTGTGTTTTCTTCCAGTTTTAGAGTGGACAAGACCCCAATCCCAAGCTATGGTAGCAATGTTCACTTCCTACAGTACTGGGCAGATGCTCCTGGGAGGACTGGCTTTTTTCTTTCGCAGCTGGATCACACTGCAGCTGATATTATCCATACCTCTGTTGGTCTGCTGCGTGTTATCAAGGTAGGGACAAACTACATGGCCTTTAATGAAAGGGGAAAGTGGGACATAAAGGAGGTTCTGACACTTGGGATCTGTGTAATCTCTGGACAATCCTAAGTCACACTCACCCATAGTAACCATTGTGCAATGAGGACAAAGGAGAATGGAACACTGCTGTGGAGTTAGCACGTTTCTATCTTAGCCACAAAATTATTTTGGAATCTTTTATTAAGTATATGTTGCTTGGAATAAGAGAGGTTTCATGGTGTTATTTCCACACATGTAAATAAAGTACTTTGAACATATTCACATCTTCTCTTGGCCTTTCTTATGCCATCTTCCCCTCCTTGTTTAAAAAATAATTTTAAATGGTTTAACAGGCTTAGCTGTGCCATTTTTCACAGAATGAAGTTATATTTACATTCCACCCACATTAACTGACTCTCCTGTCCCTATGGCTCCCCTACAAATGGGCCCCTTTTACATTCATGACTTGTATGTGTAATATTATGTAAGAATATATTTTCAGATGCAGATTTGCAGATAAGAGCATATGATATATGTCTTTCAGAGTTTGGCTTTTTTTAGTTAACACAATGGTCTCCATTTTGCTATAAACAACATAATTTTGTTCTTCTTTTTGAGTAATAATATGCCACTCTGTGGATTATTTCTAGGGCTTATATTCTATTCCATTGGAATACGTATCTTTTTTTTTTCTTCCAGTACCATGATGATTCATTACTCTGGCTTTGTAGCACAATTTGAAGCCAAATATTGTGATACCTCCAGCATTGCTTTTTTTGTCCAGGAATGCTTTGACTCGGCAGAGTCTGTTGCACTTATCTATCAGTTTTAACATTGCCTTTTCTATTTACACAAGGCATGTCACTAGAATTCTGATTGGGGGCTGCACTGAATCAGTAGAAAGTTTCAGTAGTATATAAGCATGAGAAGTCTTTCCATCTTTGTTATCTTCTTCAATCCTTAATGTTTTGTACTTTTTAAGTTTTGAACAAAAGTGATAAAATGAGCAAACTCTACGACTTGAGCCAACAACTTTCCTTCTGGTTTTTTTTCTTTTTTTTCTTTTTGCTTATGTGGTGCTGAGGAATCGAACCCAGGGCCTCATGTATGCAAGGCAAGCACTCTACCTCTGAGCCACCTTCCCAGCCCCTCTTTCTGGTTTTTGATCATTCTGTGGAATAAAATTTTCATAGACTTTGCCTTCATAGACTAGGCTTCAAACTGTGATCCTCAGATCTCAGCTTCCTGAGTAGCTATAATTAGAAGTCTGAGCACCAGTTTCCAGTGTGTAGAATTTTATTGTGTATAAAATCACTGAAAAGGGGCTGGGAAGGTGGCTCCGTGGTAGAGCACTTGCCTTGCATGCCTGAGGCCCTGGGTTCAATTCCTCAGCACCACATAAGAAAATAGCCGGAAGTGGTGCTGTGGCTCAAGTGGTAGAACGCTAGCCTTGAACTGAAGAACTGAAGGACAGCGCCCAGGCCAAGTTCAAGCCCCACAACTGGACCCAAAAAAAAAAAATCACTGAAAAAACCCTCTACAGAGATTAATTATATGGCATATAGATCATTTAGGGATATTAACCATTGGAATGTCAATGGATACTCAGACTATTTATTCATTCCTCCTTGTTATCTATAATTACTTTCAATAAACACTTAGATACCCTCCCTGTAAGTCCACCAGAGAAGGCAGATTTAATCAGAAATGACTCTACTATGATGTACAAAGTCTATATGAAATGGAGAGGAAAAGATATTTCAGATTAAAGTTATGTGTAAAATAAGCAGTTAGATGTTTACTGTAGCTGTGTTGTCTTCTTTTTCAGGATGCTGGTAGAGTCTGCTCGGTGGCTGGTTTTTAGCAATCAGCTAGAAAAGGGCTTAGAGGAACTTAGAAGAGTTGCACGTATAAATGGAAAGAAGAATGCTGAGGAGACCCTGAGCATTGAGGTGATCTGAGAAGGGGGCTGATTACTGGGAATGGATGATTTGAACTCACAATCCTACTATTCTGGGTCCTTTAGGCATATCCCAAATTAGAATTTTCTAAGTGAGAAGATATTTATTTTTGGTTTTTGTTTTTTTACTCAGTCATGGGGCTGGGAGCTGGCCCTGAGCTTTTTCCATCAAGGCTAGCACTCTCTCACTTTGAGTCACAGTGCTACTTCCAGTTTTCTGCTGTTTGATTAGAGATGAGGGTATTGGGAACTTTCCTGCCACGGCTGGCATCGAACTGGGATCTTCTGTTCTCAGCCTCCTGAGCACCTGTCTTCTAAGTGAGACTTTCATATCACTGCCTTAGTTCCCCCACAGTCTAATTATTGTGTTGGCAAAGAGGAACCAAATTTAAAAATGTGTCTATCTTTTCTCAGAGTTGTAGCTAAAATCTGAGGATCAATATTCAAAGCAAGCCTGAGCTAGAAAGTCTGTAAGGCTCTTATCTCCAAAAAATGACTCAGAAGAAGCCAGAAGTAACGCTGTGGTCAAGTGGTAGAGTGCTAGCCTTGAGCAAAAGAAGCTCAGGGACAGCACCCAGGCCCTGCATTTCAAGCCACAGGATCAGGGTGTGTGTGTGGGTCTGTGTGCATGTGTGTGCGCACGCACGCACACACACACACACACCTTAATCTCCACACTCCTGTCATTTTGTCAAGTGTTTAAACAGGCTTTAATCCTACCTTATTCCCCTGAGTTTCCCTTCTTCCTGCATCTTTTGTGGTTCTTCCCACGTGAGACGGATTTAATGCCCATGTCCCTGCGCTGTAGTTTTCCTTGAGGATACAACACACCATATCTGTTCCATCTTCTAGTATTTAGCAATATAATTGGCACTTGATTGGCATCTCATGAGTGCTTATGACTTTTGTCGTCCAAGTTTGTGAAATCCAACCTGCAGGAGGAGTTTGAGGACGCCAAGGCAAAAATATCCATTTTTCAGTTGTTCCACACACCCAGGCTGTGTATGAGAAGCTGCTGCCTGAGTTTTATCAAGTATGTTCCTTTAAATAAATTTATCAACATATTCTACCTCCAATATCTTATTAGAGAGGAACTACATTTATTCTTTCAAAATCAATAGCAACAGCAGGCCAGGTACTGGTGGCTCACACCTGTAATCCTAGCTACCCAAGAGGCTGAGACCTGAGGACCACAGTTCAAAGCCAGTCCAGAGTAGGAAAGTCCATGAGACGCTTATCTCCATTAAATAACTTAGAAAATACCAGAAAGGGCAAGGGGGGGGGGGGAGATGGGAAGGGATGGGAAGGGGAAACAAAGGAGGCAACAATACATAAGAAATGTACTCATCTTGCTCATGTAATTGTAACCCCTCTGTATGGTATTTTCACAATTTAAAAAAAAAAAGAAATGTACTCACTACATTACTTACATAAATGTAAACCTTCTGTATATCACCTTTACAATAAAATAAACTAATTTTAAAAAGAAAAAGGAAATACTAGAAGTGGCGCTGTGACTCCAGCAGTAGAGTGCCTTGAGCACCAAGAGGCTCAGGTCCTGAGTTCAAGCCCCAGGACTATCAAAAACAAAAAACAAAACAAAACAGTGGTAGCATTATATACAATAGATCAATACATAAGAGAAGAAAAATGATGTTAAGAGGCTTATGTTCAATTACCACCTTGTTTTTTAAGGTTCCCTTATGAGACCTCTCAGTGAGACTGAACTACAGAAAATATGAAAATCAGAGCTGGCACTGATGGCTCATGCCTGTAATCCTAGCTACTCAGGAGGCTGAGATCTGAGGATGTGGTTCAAAGCCAGCCCAGGGTGGGAAAGTCATGAGATTAATCAATTAATCACCAGAAAACCAGAAGTGGTGTTGTGGCTCAAGTGGTACAGCACTAGCCTTGAGTTGAAGAGCTGAGGGCAACACCCAGGCCCAGCGTTCAAGCCCCATGACCGACAAAAAAAAGAAAAAATGAAAATCACATTCCAGAATGAAGTTCAGCACTGCATATTAGCATATGGAGTAGTCTACTGTGAAACATATGTGAACATTTTATCTGAAAGGTTTTATTGAAACAGAACTTACATAAAGAAAATTGCAGCCAGGCACAGAGGCTCACAACATGATTCTAAGTGCTGAGGTTGGGAGGATCACAGTTCAAGGCCAGCGCAGGCAAAAAGTTCACAAGACCCCATCTCAACCAATGAAAAGGGGTGATGTCATCACAACTATGCAGGGGCATAAATAGGCAGATTTGGTTCCTGGCTGGCCCAGGAAAAAAGGAAGACTGAATTTGGAAAATAACAAAAGCAAAAACCATATGGGAAGTGACTCAAGTGATAATGTCCATGCTCCCAGGCATGAGCTAAAACACCATTACTTTCAAAAGAGAAAAAGGCACAAATTCTGTGTTCATCTAGATCCATTTTATGAATTGATAGGCCCATGTATTAGTCAACCAAACAAGCACATTTTCAGTCCTTGAATCATTTCTCTTCTACCTATCCCCCATTAAGAAAAATAGCAACCAGGGCTGGGAAGGTGGCTCAGTGGTAGAGTGCTTGCCTTGCATGCATGAGGCCCTGGGTTCGATTCCTCAGCACCACATAAGCAAAAAGAAAAAAGCCAGAAGTGGCGCTGTGGCTCAAGTGGTAGAGTGCTAGCCTTGAGCTGAAGAGCTGAGGGACAGCGCCCAGGCCCAGAGTTCAGGCCCGATGATCAGACCCCCCCCAAAAAAAAGAAAAAGAAAAATAGCAACTATACTTATCATTCTCTTTCTGAGATTTTTGTTTGTTTTCTAAATTTTTTGCTAGATCTTGAATTTCACATGAGTGAAAAAATGCTCTATGTATATGTTGGTGTGTGTTCGCTGATCCTAGGGCTGGAAATTGGGGCCTGGGCAATGGTCCCTTAGCTTGTTTGCTCAAGGCTAATAATTTACCAGTGAATCACAGTTCCACTCTGGTTTGGCTGATTATTTGGAGGTGAGTGTCTCACAGACTTTTCTGCACAGGCTGGCTTTGAAACTTAAACCTCAGATCTCAGCCTCTTAAGTAGCTAGGATTACAGGCGTGAGTCACTGACACTCACCCAATATATGTACACTCTGAGCTATGGAGAGTGACAGAATTCCTTTGTGCTCCAGTTCTAGACTGCCCAACAAGAGTCACTATCACACCAAATCCCACATCCACACTGGGTTTCATGTTTGTCCCCATGTCCAGGATGTCTATTCTGTGATCCCCCAACTTGCCTGGCAGCCCTTGTGGTAGTGGCTTTGACATAACCTCCCACAGCTATGGATGCTTTCTTCTTTTCTCTCCATGGCCTTTCTGCACCTTCAGGTGTTCAGCTGTCCTTTCCTTTTTCATGATTCCTAATGCTCTTCTTCTCTTTCTTTCCTTAGCATGTTGCCTTTCCCCTTGCACACAGGGAGCTTCTAATCTGCTGACCCTTGGATCTTGAATCCTCTATTCAATGAATAACTGTGTTCTCACCTTGGCTACACTCGAACTTAGTACCTTCAGGGAGTTCATTGACCCACCCTGATTTCTTTGTCCTACTGAAGCAGGACAGAGAGGCCACTGGTTCCCCACCAGGATTTCCCATATCTCTATTTTGATATGTTTTGTCTGTTGATTATTGAAATTTTAGTGACTTCCCACTCTCCAAACGAGAGCGACAGAAATAAACTCTTTCCCTGAGTTATGTAATTCTAACACTGAAAGATTAAAAATTAGAGTTACACTTTACAATTGCTAACTGCTGGTTTTCTGTAAACTTGCTCGCCCTAGCACTAACCCCCCTCCCTTCTGGAAATAAGTAATGGAGTAAAAAGTCTCAGATGCCCAGATGCCAGCCCCTGGGACAAGGTTTGTGGTCATAGATAAAGAACAAACAGGTATGTTTTTCTGGTTCCTGTTTGAAAATTCCCTAAGTGGCCAAATGGAACCCAGGATAGGGACCCAAGATAGGGACCCAAGATAAAGAACAAAGAGTATGTTCCTCTGCATCCCTGTGTAAAAATTCTTGGTATAGGGGGCTCAAGATAAGGACCATCAGGTGAGCCCAGCAAACTAGGCCAAATGTTAATCACAAGCCTGTAATTATGTAAACTCCCTGACCCTTATCTCCCAGAGTGACTACCTCCATTTGATCATCCACGCCAATTGTTTTACAAAGAGTGTTATAAACGTCCCCACATAGTAAAAATGATTGCTGGAGTACATAGTGACTTTTAAACGGGCCAATCCCGGGGACACCTGGTGTTATATGCTAATCTTGTGGTTTTTGCCTTTAAGAATGCCTGTAACCGGGGTTCAGGGCTCTCTCCTGTGCCGAGGCAGAGAGACCGATTGCGCAAACGTCAAATAAACTCCTCTTGCTTATTGCATCTCCCGGCCTGGAGTCTGAGTTTTCTGGGGTGCCCTCCCGTTGACGAAAGTATCCCAGAAGTCTGGGGTCTTTCAACACCTCTGTACATCATTGTAACAACAATTTAAAAATTTTTAAATAACAAAGGAGAGTGCTCTCCAACAATCTATTGCCCAGAGATGCTATTAATTGGTATGACACTAGTTTTCCATCTGTACATTGAGCAACTAAAAGTTGCCTAGGCCAATATTGTCATGAATTTTAGCACAACATGCAAGGAAAAAATCCCAGTCAGTGCTTCTTAAACACTAAGTACTATTAAATGTGTTTCTTTTAATTGCAAGTGAGTATATCATTTTAGAGCAAGTAGTCACAATCCTTGTATAGAAATAAACCACTCTGTTCTCTTTGTTATATTATAGTGGCATTGAGATCCTTGGAGCAGGGGAAGAAAACAACAGAAAATCTAAAAGACCATGAATTTCTATTATTAGAGAGAAAGCATTGGAAAGATTTACTGAAACAATTTTTTGGCCTGGATTCACTTTCCTAAGGCCCACCAGAGTTCTGGCATGAGACACTAACCAGTATGATGCATTTTGCATTGATTAAATTAAATGAAAAGTGCACACGACCTGGCATCAGTGGCTCATGCCTGTGAACCTGCCTACTCAGGAGGCTGAGATCTGACAGTCATTGTTTGAGAGAGCCCCACCAGAAAGTCTATAAACCTCTTATCTCCAATAATCTCAGAAAAGCCAGAGTGGCACTGTGGCTCAAGTGGTAGAATAATAGCCTTGAGCACAGAAGCTCAGAGACAGTCCTTCGGCCATTGTTCAAGCCCCAGGACTGGCAAACAAACAAAAAACAAACAAAACACTCTGGCTGCTTGTGAAAATGCACATGATTCCATTGTATGTGTTTAACTTGAAACTCAGTTATACATATTTATTATTTCCAAGATATATTTTAAATATATACGATATATGTAATATATGTTATAGATAATATATAACATATACCTTATATGTAAGATATAAGATATATTTTTAATGGTGTATACATTTTGAATACATGTATGTTGAAGACATCAATGACTAAATTTGCTAAATATCTCATATCTTCTTTGACAAAAAGCATACAGTACTTGGAATGGACATTACAGAGGTTGAGTGGAAGAGGAAAAGTTGGGAATCAGTCCTGTTGAGCTCCCTGGTTCCATACCAGTGCTGAGATACAGAGCAAGTCACTTAACAGAGATTAATCTTATTTCTTCATCTCATCAGTAATGATGAAGAAACATAGTAATTTGAAGTTCATGAAGAACTATTATTAAAATTCGGCACAGGCCAGAAAGTATGATTCGCTAAGATTTGAACCTAAATCTAATTTTCAATAATACGTTTGTGTGCACCTACAGGGAACCTTGTGCTATTTCCCCAGGGAAAGCAAGGAATTCACTCATCTTTTTTTTTTTTGTATCTTAAATTCATTTGCTCTATCGTTTCAAATGTGTTTTTATTCTTTTAACTTCAGAATGGCACTAGTCATAGCCTTCTTCGGCCTGATACTCAACCTGCAGCACCTGGGGAGCAACATCTTTCTGTTCCAGATTCTCTTTGGCCTTGTCACACTCCTCAGCAGATTCGTTCCCTTCTTGGTATTGAATTATCTGGGCTGAAAACAAAGTTACATACTATTCCTGTTCCTGACAGGACTTTCGATTCTGGTCAGCACCTTTTTGTCCCCTGTTGGAGACCTGAAACCTGCCTGAGAATGCTCTGGCCTCTTTCAAACACCTAATTAACAAGTAGCCGGTCTCGGAAATTCCCAGGTGCACATTTAGATAACTTCCTATAACAAACTACATCTGGCTAACCTTAAAACTTCTCTTATCTCCAGCCCTAAGCAAACGGC